AGCAGGGAGCCCGATGCGGGACTCGATCCCAGGACCCTGGGATCATGACCTGAGCCGAAGGCAGACGCTTAATGACTGAGCCACCCAGGCGCCCTGGTTTTGTTTTTTTAAGATTTTATTTATTTATTTGAGAGAGAGCGCGTGAGCGAGCATACCAGCAAGGGGAGAAGCGGAGGGGGAGGGGCAGAGGGAGAGAGAATCCCAAGCTGACTCCGTGCTCAGCGAGGAGCCTGATACGGGGCTCCATCCCATGACCCTGAGATCATGATCTGAGCTGAAATCAAGAGTGGGACACTTAACCGACGAGCCACCCAGGCGCCCCAGGAGGTTGGCTTTGTATTCTCCACTTCTGTGGCAGGAAATATCAACACGATAATTAAAAATCACAGATAATCCAAAAATGTCTTTTGGAATTAGAATGTTACTTATCTGATAGGACCCAGCAACTTTGAAATACTCATTTAATCATTAAACAGACATGTTTTTGAGACCTACTGTACTGCACGCTGTCCTGGCCCTTTCCCTGGGGGCGCACCTGCTGCCCGTGGATTTCAGTGGGAAATCTGCTTTCATTGTTCCCTTCATGGTTTTATCTTTTTTTTTCAGGGACCCCCTTGTGTCCTACCCTATTTTGTTTTTTGTAGGGAAAGGATTTGAGGGTAGGAACATCTTTCAAACCCAAACTCTTAATCCCTGCCCTTCATCCAGGGGAGATGAGCAGGCATCCATTAACTCTTGTGGGGTGGGGTCAACGAGCCCTTCTTTAGGGTGGTGCTCGTTCACTCCCCAGGTGCCACACTGAGGTCAGCAGAGGAAAGTCTCAGTTCTGGTACCTTCCAGTCTGTTTGCCACAGCTTCTGTTTGCGCTGGAGAGAGGTGTGAATTTCTCGGGTACCACATCCACCGTATTCAGCACAACAGCAAAACTGCATACCCTGATGTAGCTATTGTGGGGGTGGTGTCCTGTGTGGCCCTGTCCACGTCTTGAGGCCGTCCTCCCCAGTCCTCCCCCATCATCCACAGTCCTCTACTGTCCTCTCCTCCATGTCTCCTCCCGTTGGCTGGTCAGGCATCCAAGGCATCTGATTTGTCTTCCTTTCAGATGCATACTCTAGCTCTCCTTTGTCCATTTTCCACTTGAGTGATTCAGTTTTAATTCCAGCAGGTGAGGGACCAGGATTCTTTTTTTTTTTTAATTATTTTATTTTTATATGTTTCTTTTTAAAGATTTTATTTATTTATTTGAGAGAGAGAGCATACAAGCATGGGAGAGAGGTAGAGGGAGAAGTAGATTCCCCACTGAACAGGGAGCCCAATGCAGGACTCGATCCCAGGACCCCGGGATCATGACCTGAGCTGAAGGCAGACGCTTCACCAACTGAGCCACCCAGGCGCCCCTATTTTATTTTTAAGTAATCTCTACACCCCACGTGGGGTTTGAACTCCTGAGATCAAGAGTGGCATGCTCCTTCAACTGAGCTGGCCAGGTGCCCCAGGACCAGGATTCTTGAGTTTTTATTCTGCTTCAACCCTGTTGGCCCCCAGGGAGATGCTGTCAGCTTTCCCGAAGAGATGTTTCTTCTCTGCTTTCCCAGGGTCTTCCCCTTCTTCTTAAATAAGAGAAAATGAAGTCTTTCAGGGGATTTGCTATTTTGCCATACCTGTTCCAGGGGAGAAAGATGTTAGATTGGGAAGCTTGCAGAGGCGAGCGAGAGGCTCCTCAGCACCCCATTCGGCTCACCACACCCGTGTCCCTTGCCACAGGCTAAGGAGCGGGAGCTGGAGCTGAAGAACACCTGGTCGGAGAACAAACTCAGCCGTCGGCAGACCCAAGCCAAGTATGGATTCTAGGGCTCTGGACCTGACCGTTTCTGGGGCTCCTGCCGCCTGGCGCCTGGCCTCACTTCGGGGACCCCGCTGCTCCAAGCCCAGGGTCTCTATCCCTGAGGACCCGGCCCTCGCCTCTGCGAGAATGAACACATTTGATAGATTTTTCTTAACAAAAGTTAGAAAATTCAGCTCCTCTGTCTTGGAGCTAGCAAAGACTCAAGCGATGCTTCAGATGGGGCTCTGAGTTCCTGGATGGGAGTGGGGCTCCCTGGTGGGTGTGATGAAATGGGGAGCCCCTCTCTCCACTTTTTTTTTTTTTTTTTAAACCAGGGATGTCTGTTGAAATAAAACATTCAGTCTGACAGACGTTGCTTGCCCTAACCCCTTTCCTACTTTTTAGTGTGGTCTCGTTTTTCCATTCTGGATCTTTCTCACTTGTTCTCCCGTTCCTGGATCTGACATTACCCTTGTGTAGAGCACCCTCCGAACCGTCATGAGCTGCCTCAGCGATGGCTTTGCCTTTTCCTCTGTGTCCACCTTCTAAGCTGGGTTCACGGCCATCGAAGACCCTAGGAATTATGTGTACAGCTTTGCGTGGGGCAGAGGCCTGTGGTCCCAAATTGGAAAGTATTGCTGGTCTCAGTTATCTTTGAAGACGAGAGGAAGTCAAGGAGGTTCTTTCCGTGACACCAAAGAGTCATTAGCAAATTCAGTCCAGCAGAAGTGGCGAGTGTCTGTCCCTGAAGAGGATGCGCGTTCACACTGATTGCCATTGGCCTTGACTGGTTTGGAAGCTTTGTGGAGGGCTGGGGGGCTAGACAGATCTCCTTGGAGACTTCTGCACCCTGAGCTTTATGCTAGAGCGGGAGGGGGGCGGCAGGGTCACGGGCCTCAGTTCACACTTCTACACTGGATGCCCGCCAGCAGCACGGGGTTCCCGAGGGGTGGGAAATGCACACCCTGGTCCCAGAACCGTGCGGGTCCTCGTGCACACCGCCGTGAAGCGTGTTGCCGAGGGCACTGGGGCTCCAGTAGGGGCTGAGCTTCAGCGCTTCCCGCTCCTGTGACCGGGGTTCTGGTGGAGTCCTGCGGAGAAACGTCTGGTGCCCAGCCCGGGGGAGCTGACTGGGCGCAGCGGCTCGCCTCCAGCTGCTGCAGGCTTCTCAACGGGAAAGCGCCGGGAGGAAGGACTGACCGCCCTGGTGACGGACAGAAGGTTCTGGCCACGGGGGCAGTTGGAAGCGTGTGGTGTGGGTACCTGGGGGTGAGAGGGAGGCAGCAGGAGGGAGGGTCTCCCCGTGCCCCCGGTCGTGTGTGCTGGGTAAGTTGAGGAGTCTGTTTCTCATTAAGCACAGGGGAGGCTTTCGTCACTTACAGGAAAACCACCCACTTATCTGAAATCTGACCTACTTCGGGTTGGAGCCAGACAGGGCTCCTGCATCCCACAGGGACACTGGGGCTGTAGTGGTCCACGTCCATGCATCCAGCCAGTCTTCGGGAAGGAGCAGCAACCCACTACCACTTCTATGGTCCTCAGAGGCACTGGGGGCGGTGGCCGAGGTCACCCTCCTGGGGTGTTGTAGGTGGTGAGGTAGGCTCCACAGGGCCCAAAGTCTGAGATCCAAGGATCTTTTTTTTTTTTTTTTAAAGATTTTATTTATTTATTTGACAGAGAGAGACATAGTGAGAGCAGGAACACAAGCAGGGGGAGTGGGAGAGGGAAAAGCAGGCTTCCCGCAGAGCAGGGAGCCTGACGTGGGGCTCGATCCCAGGACCCTGGGATCATGACCTGAGCCGAAGGCAGACGCTTAACGACTGAGCCACCCAGGCGCCCCCAGATCCCGAGGATCTTTGCTGCACCCAAGATGCTGCAGATGCAGCCCTGCCCTCCCGGCTTGCCACACCCCTGGGACTTGAGTCCCTTGTCCTCACTCAAGGGGCTTGCATCATGATGGAGCTGGAGGCGCTCTGGGCACGGAGGGTCCCAGCGTCTTCTGGAAGTGGATGGACTTGAGCCAGTTATCTGTAAGCCTCTGGCCTCCCACTTCTGTGCTCTGCAATAGCTTACACCGCTTTTTTTAAAGCCACTTCTTAGTCCTACCAAAGGTGACATTTTTTTTTTTAAAGATTTTATTTATTTGAGAGAGAGAGCGAGCACAAGAGGGGGGAGTGGGAGAGGAAGCAGACTCCCCGCTGAGCAGGGACCCCGATGCGGGGCTTGATCCTGGGACTCCAGGATCATGACCTGAGCCGAAGGCAGTCACTCAACCAACTGAGCCACCCAGGCGCCCAAAGGTGACACTTTATTTGGTGGATGTAGTTTCCTGGTCACCAAGAGAAATGCAGATTAGAAATGGACAGTCCTCATTTGGGAAGGCTTCCTGGAGGTAGTAGCCTCAAGTTCTGATAAACAGCAAAGGGAAGACAGACCAGGATGGAGGGAAGAACGAGGAATAGGAATGATACTTGGCTAAAGCTGGAATGGCAGCACCAGCCGAGGGGAAGAGGGAGGAAGGGCAAGGGCTTTGGTCAGAATGGATCCAGGCCGCCCCCCCCCCCCCCCCGGGGCCCCGGGAGGCGCTGGCCTGTGCCCGAGGGCGCCGGAGTGCACGGTGCAGCCTGCTCCTAGCCTTGTTGGCGTCCTCTTCCTCTGCCCAGCTTTGTTTCAGGTGGGGACAGATGTCCTATGACAGGGAGGTAGCTGAGGGCGGGGCCTCAGCAGCTCTTGGCCCCCAGTCCTCCCGCTGTGCGTGGTGCTCCAGGACAGAAGGGGTCACCCCCTGCCCCGGAGCCAGACTTCCAGGGCGCCTCCCTGAGTGTGTACTGTGTGAGCTGAGGGAGCACACAGGATGAAGGGGACAGCTCGGGAGAAGTGCAGAGAGCCGACAGGTCGGCCACGGTGCTGGAGGGAAGAGCTGTGCCCCCCCGCGAGCCTTCTGTAGGTCCAGACTGGGCTGAGAAACTGTCCTCTCTCAGCTCTGAGTGCCCCGAGCCCGAGAAAGTCCTGTGTGGAGGGCAGGGGGAGGGCTGGAGGGACCGTGGCAGAAGGAGCCAGCTGGGAAATGCCCTTCCCCTGTAGCACCGCGGTCCCTGGCTGGGGAGGAACCGCCTGCCGCACAAACTGCCCCAGTCCTTCTCCTGTAGGAGTTCCTCAGCTTCTTCATCCCGGCCGGGCTGCAGCGCCTCCGCCACAGCACCCCGGCTCAGCGGACCCTCGCTGCGCCCCGCCGCAGCACCCCTGCTCAGCGGACCCCCGCAGCGCCCCTGCTCAGCGGACCCCCGCAGCACCCCTGCTCAGCGGACCC